GCCCCCGCCGCGTGTCCCGCAGCCGACATCTACGAGCGGCTGGCGGCGGAGCTGGAGCCGCTGGGCTGCGACTGCGAGTGCCTGGGCGGCGGCAGGATCCGCCACGAGCGCGGCGCCAGGAGGATCCACGTGTACGGCTACTCCATGGTGAGGACGGAGCGCGCGCCGCCCCAGCGCCGCCTCTGCGCGGCCTGCGGGCCTCGGCTCCGTGCCCCTTGGGGTCCGGCGCGTGCCCGGCTTGGAGGCTGCCGCAGCCGGGAGCAGCCAGCCCTTCCCCAAGCCCGCGCCTCTCCCGGAGGCGCCTGTGGCAGCCGAGTCCGCGCGSCCGCGGGAGCACCGGGGTCTGCAGACGCAGCTGCCCGTGCTCCCGGCTGGCAGCAGCAGGCCCCCACGTGCCCAGCAGGCATCGCGGAGGCGCTGCAGGTCGGGGCACCTGCAGGAACCACCCGCATCCAGCCTCTCCTCAGCCCCCTGGCCACGGTCTCCTTCCCGTGTCGCTCTCCATCCTCCTCTCTGGAGGCCCCGGCACTCGGATGGAGGCTGCAGGCGGTAGCTGTGTGTGCCCTGAGTGTTGTGGCGGTCCTGGTTTTCTCAGCTCCGGCCCCCTTGGGTTGGCGCCGGGGTGCTGGGTGCGCTGGCCCCGCTGCCAGGCGGCAGTGTGGGGTGGTGCCAAGTATTGACTGAATCCCACGTATCTCTCATAGATACGGGATCAGTGGTTGTTTTCACTGCCRTAGTCTCTTCACACATCATCCCATTCCCGTCCCCAAGGGTACATTTAGCTACAGTAGAGGTGGCCACCACGCCTCCTTTACTCTTTAACTGTCTCTCTTCTTCCAGGGCTTTGGGCGAGCAAAGCACTCCGTGACTACAGAGAAGCTGAAAGCCAAGTATCCAGACTATGAGATCACTTGGGCAGACGAAGGCTACTAGCTCGGTGAGACAAGGTGGCCGCCTCATACCAGCCTGGAGCTGGCCTGGCTGCCTTCTCCAGCTCAGCCTTCGGGGAGATAGCAGCAGGGTTCCCAGCAGCTAATGGGCACTGCTGGTTTTCTCTGTGTTGAACTCCCTGCTCTGAGAACCTTGAATTCTCCTAAGGCATCTGCAYATCTCTATTTTCACTGGACTTCCTCGGTGCCACAGGCTCTGCCTGTCCCCCTGTCGCACGCAGCAAAGCCTGAGGGTGAATCCCACAGCTTGGTGAGGCTGATGGGGGCTCTGCCTTAGCCTTGCTTGTGGCAAAGGCTTGTCCTGCATGCATGGTGACCATTAAACATGTTGGGCAGCACGGTTGGCTCTGCTTGGTTGTCTGTGTGTGTGATAGTGGCTCTGTCTTGGTCCTGCAGCCCGAGGTGGGGCTTGGGCCTGGCTGCACTCACTGTTCYCCCACAGCAGAGTTCAGTTTCCCAGCCCTGCGTGGAGACGCCTCTCTGGAGGCCTCGCATTGGAGCTGGTTCTGTCTGAGGTGGTGACAGCAGACTGTGTTTCAGGATTTGGAGGTGCGTGGGGTTGGGTGTGGGAAGTTAAAAWCTGCACTTACTTGTCCTCCCGTTTTGTGAATTGTCCAAGACGCTGATGTGCAGAAGTGCTGTCTGGAGAGGAGGCAACTGAGCAAGCTGGGACCAGAAGTAATGAACCAAGGGAGCTGCTGGGAGAAGCAGCGTGGTCCCCATGCCTGGCCCAGGGAAGGGGCAGAGTTGCTGTGCAGTGAGCACTGTGATTATAAACTGTTATCTCCTGCCCTGAGCTTTTAGAGTCCGAGGACTAAGCTGTCAGGGAACATACCCTGTTCTCACCTAAGCAGATCAGTAGTTATTAACACCCTGAGCTAGATGATCCTTGATTTCAGCTCTCCAGGAAAGCATCGCTGGCTCTTGCTACTTGTTATTTCCTAGCTCTTGTTTCTAGGGATCTCCCTAGAAACCATGTCACTTCTCCAGGTGACATGGGTGCCGCTATAGGCGAAATGGATCTGTCGGACTGAGACCTTGTCAGCCTGGTCTGGGTGAACGTCACACATGTGAACATCAATGGATATTAGGCATCTAAACTCGGGAGGGCACAGAATGAGATTTATGTTAGTAGTGTAGAGTGCAGCTTCCCTGGTGGCTGCCTTCACATCAGTGAATTGCTGAGGTTGGTTGGTACCTCTGGAGATAGCCTAATCCTACCACCTGCCCAAAGCAGCTTGCTCAGGACTCTGCCCAGATGGCTTTTGAATATCTGCGTAGTTGGAGACTTCACATTAGCTCTAAACGCCTTGTTCCAGGGCTTGACTTCTCTCAAAGGAAGGACATCCTGTCTTCCTAGCKGTGCCCTGGGACCGGGCAAGAGGCAATGAGGACAGATTGCAGGTTGTGCTCGTCATCTCTTGTTCGGTCGCTGGGCGGTGCTGAAGCCAGCCTCTTTGCAGTGGCATTGGTCTTTCYTCCCACGTGTCACCTGTGTGCTTGCTGAGGACGTGCTCTGTCCCATCATGCAAATAATAAACAAAGGGACCCCAGTAGTGACCTCAGGGGGCACCAATAGTAGCTCCCCCGGCCCCAGCTGAACTTTGTGCCTCTCATGGTAATGCTCTAAGCTGACACTTGGAGCAGGACAGTGTTTACCTCCCGGGGAGGCGGAGCGATGGCCAGGGATCCCTGCCCATTGCTGCAGGCACAGGCTGTGTCTGGTGCTACCTGCGAGAGGCAGAAGCCCCTGTCRCCTTCCTCGCTGGCTGATGGGTTTGTGCTGCAATGGAAAACYCAGGGCAAGAGGAGCAGCAAGCTTGTGCCCTCCAACAGAAGGGGCCCAGGAAGGGCACCCGTGGCTGCTGCTCAATCACCTGCCTGCCTTGTGCTGGCTACTGGTTCCCCTCTCTGAAATCCAAGGGACAGAGATGGGGCTTTTCCTGGGAGCACTGCCTTGCCCTTAGCGTGGCGGCTTTGCCTGGGGGCAGGGTGAAGGRCTGGCCCTTAGGACACTTGTGCTGAGCTTGGGCACTTGCCAGAGAGGGTTGCCAGATTCCACGCACGTGCCAGGCTTGGGTGACCCCTCTCCGCARGGGCGCAGAGTTCCTCATCCAGGCACAGCCTGACCCAGGCTGGTGCGGGGGAATGAGYTGAACCGTGAGTTTTACTGCACCTGACACAATGGAGTTGCAATCTGGTGCCCAAGGCCAGCTGCTAGCAGGCACTCGGTGCTCAGGTTTGTGCAACAGGAGCCTGTTTCCCAGCTCCAGGCCCTGGGGCTGCTGGCAGGCAAAAACAGGGCTGCTCTGTTGTAGCATCAGCTTATAGAGGTCCCCAGCTGCCCGGGTACCAGGGTGCAGGAACATCTGTTTGGCAAAGTGGCAGAGACAGAGGTGATGGCCAGCACCCTGACCCGTGACGCTGCTGGGCAGGGACCACATCCTGCTTATCAGCCTTTCCTGTCTCGGGCTGCTCCCCGCAACCCCATTCCCGCCCCCAGGCCCAGCTGGGGTGCACCCTGCTGCCTGCTTGCACCCAGAGGCTCCCCCCAGCTCGCCCAGCCTCCTTGCATCCTCGTGGCACCTCTTTCTTGGCCTGGTTGGGAAAGGTGGTTGAAAAGGGGGAGATTGATAAGAAAGGGAGCAGAAGATTTCCCTGGGTGACACGGCCTTGCAGAGCAGTGGTTGCCAACTCCTCGTGTGTGATGCTCACAGCGGAGCCGAGCTGCCTGTCCCAGCCGAGAGCAATCCCTCTCCATGACCCCCGTGGCTCAGGGATGAGAGCTYGGGAAGCGTAAGCCCCGCTGCACAGATAACAGCGGGGCTGAAGTCCAAAGTGTGGCAGGTCYTTGGGAGCAGATTCCAGCCTCGGCTCACACCGGCTACCCCCTCTGCCTGCCTGCTCCTTGCGTCTCCCTGCTCTGCTCTGCCCTCGCTGAAGCCCGGAGGCTGCAATGTCTGAGCACACGGTCCTCCTGATCCTGACACTTTTGGGTAAGTTGTGCCCCAGGCTGGGGCTGTGTCGAGGGTCACGCTGCAGGGAGAGGGGGACATGGTGCCAGCTGCTTCACTGTGTCCCTCCCCAGCACAGGGCCGCCCAGGGTCACGGTTGTACCAGGAAACCCACCGGTGCAAAGGCCCTGCGGGGTGTTTGCGGGACCAGATGCTCCCATGCTCTGGCTTGGGCGGGAGGAGACCCGCTGCCCTCCAAGGAGAAGGGGGTGAAACGTGCTGCTTTGCCAGGCAGCAGCTGGGCTCCTGCATCGCCTGCGTGCAGCAGAGGGGCTCRCTCTTTCCCTCAGCATTGCTGCAGCTTTCGGGGGACTGGACTGACACCTCAGTCCCCAGTAGTTCTGTGGGGAAACAAGGCAAATATAGCCTGGCAAACCTTCCTTGGGATGCTGCTGACAAAAGTCAGCCTGGGATTTTCCCACTCACTGAAAGGCTGGTGGTTACCGGAGCTGCCCGGGATGCAAATGGGCTTTGGGTTGGATATCTCTGATGGCTTTGCTCCGCAATAGGAGGAAATGTTTGAATCATTTCCCCTCGCATCTCCCTCTTGTGTGGGTCAGGATGAGCAGGCTCTTTCAAAGCTCAACCCTCCCGGCCAGGAGTAAGGCTGAGCCTCCCTAGGCACAAGAATCAAGTCCCTCCCGAACACAACACCCAAGCCCAGGCTGTGAGGTGCAGCAGACCCTGCAGCTCCAACCCTTCATGGAGGGCTGATAGATGGAGCAGCAGCGACGACAGGGGAATACAGCAACCGGGCTGGAAATAGCACCGTAACCTCAGGAGGCCTCATCCTGCAGCTCAGCTGGCTCTGGCTGTAATGGTTGTGCTGAGCTGCCTCCCGAGCGTGTGGAGAACGTGCTGCAAGTGGGAGACGCCAAAATGCAAGGTGTGGGGTGAGAAGGGCCATGAGAGCCCTTCTTATGRTGCCTAGCCCGAGGCCTCGGGACATTCTGCTTTTCTCCCACAAGCGCCACCACTGGACATTGGGGCAGAGGCTGAAGGTCCCGGCTGAAGGACGATGCTGCTGAGAGCCTGGAGCTCCCCTGAGATGAAGACCATAGACACATGTCCCCTCCGAGCGGAGGGCTCCGAGCAGCAACAAGCCGGGGGCCCKAGCGGGGTGGTCACCCCCTTCTTCTCCCCTAGGCAGCGCTGCCCTTTCCGGCGCCTCCACCGCTGTCAACGCGTGCGGCCGCGCGGACGAGCAGCTCTGCGACTTCGCCTGCGACTGCGGCGACTGCTCCGACGAGAACCAGTGCGGTGGGTCGCGCCACCCCRGGGGCTCCCTGCCCAGAGACCAGAGCAGGGACATCGCAGAGCCAGGGCCGGGTGCAGGCGCCCAGCGTGGCGCAGGTGCCCCCGGCAGAGCCGGCTCTGCCCTCACGCCCCGTGCGCTTGTCCCCAGGGTACCTCGGGGTGTCGCTGGTGCTGGGCACCCCCTTCACCTGCGACTTTGAGGAAGGCGACTGTGGCTGGCGGGATGTGAGCACCTCGTCTTRCAGATGGGTGCGGGGCCGGGCCAGCCTGGCCGCCTGGGGCACGGGGCCGCACTCGGACCACAGCGTGGGCACAGATCTGGGTGAGCAGGACGCTGCTTGGTCATGAATGCCTGGCACCGTATCATGGCTGGGACGGGAGCCAGGGTGCTTGGTGAGCTCAGGCCAGCCACGATAGCGSTGGCTCTGGTGCCAGCGCACGGGGACGCAGGTCCTTCTCTGCCCTCCCCAGGCTGGTTCATGGCTGCAGCGGATCCCCCCGGAAAGACACCAGTCACAGCCTGGCTGCAGTCACCAGTGATGCGGGAAGCAGCTGCCACTTGTGAGATCCGGGCCTGGTATCACCTCTCGGGAAGCGGTGAGCGTGCCRGGATCGCAGCAGCAGCCCGGCCCAGCTTGGGCTGCTGTAAAGCCCTGCTGGGGACACTGTGGTGGGATGGGGTCATCTCCCCACTGGAAGAGCTCCTGAAGGCCAGAAAGGCACCAGCATCCGGAGATGGTGCCCTGCCACCCTGCTGCCCCCCTCAGTGCCCGCAAAGCCGTGTCTGGCGGGACCTGCGACCTTAGTCCCCTTCGCCCAGAGCCAGCAAGGCTTGAGCTGCCCCGTGAAGAGGAGGTGTCACTGGGGCGCTTGGCCACCTCTCCACCATCACTCCAGGGCTCAACGGGACAGAGCGACCAGCGCTGCGCCTGACCCTGGCGACTGCGGCCGAGACGGTGGAGCTGTGGCAGAGCCCCGAGCGCGGAGCTGAGGGCTGGCACGAGCTGGTGGCGTTCCCGGGCCGGACCGCGGGGCCCTTCCAGGTGATGCAGGAYGGCGAGACGCAGCTCAGCAGGCTGGGGGTGGCCAGCGAGCAGCAGAGCTGGGCTGCAGGGAGACAAGGGACCCAGGGGACACTGGGTGCCACTGAGGGGGATGGTGCTGGGCCACTGGCCCTGGCCCTTGGACAGATGAGTGGGGCTAGTTTAGCTCCTGCCAACCGTGGGCCTCTCATCGCAGCTCACCTTCTCTGTGACACCGTCACCCGGCCGTGGGACGCAGCTGGCGCTGGATGACATTGTGTTCAGGAACTGCGGCTTGCAGAGTAAGATGCAGTCCACTTGCCCCGCATCCCTCCTCTGGGCCGAGACACGAGCTGGCATGAGCCAGGGGGTGGGTTTGGGCTTTGTATCCGCATGTGGCACCAGTGGGAGCTTTCCTGCTGCGCGGACATGGGGCAGGTGGAGAAAAGTTGCACCCGGACAGGGAAACCCCTGGAGGGATGGGGCTGTGGGGGGGGTCCCTGGTGGCCATGCTGTGGCACCGCTCTGCCGTGTTGGAGAGCGGGGACCCCATGGAGGCCACCGAGGAGCTGATGGCGCCTGCGCACCCCCAGGGCCGGGCAGGCAGACGTGTGGGCCCGAGGAGGGCGCATGCCAGCGGGGCTCCTGCGTGGCTCTGGAGCACTTCTGCGACGGCACCGACGACTGCGGGGACGGCTCGGACGAGGCTGCGCCGCGGTGCCGTGAGCAGCGGGGATGGCGGCGGGACGGGGCTGGGTCCCTGCCCCGACCCCAGGTCACCGCTCMCCTCCCTCGACAGAGGCCGTCAGCGCGTGCACCTTCGAGGGAGGCCTGTGCCTCTGGGAGGCGGAGGCCGGGCTGGCCGCGTGGCAGCGAAACAGCAGCGCGAACCTGGCGCCCGCGCCCGGCCGCCCGCTCCGCGACCACAGCAACAGCAGCAGGGCAGGTAGCGGAGCGGGCGCCGCTGCGCGCCGCGGGGCACGCGGCCCTGCCGCTCACCCGGGCCTCCTGCAGGTTATTTCCTCCACGTGGGCAGCACCAGCGGGGTGGCCAGGCTGAGCAGTCCCAGTTTCCAGGCCACCAGTTCCTGCTCTGTAAGTGGCATCTTGGGGCCCACCGGTGCACCATGGCAAAGCCTCTCTAGGCATGGGGACCTGTTGCATGAAGCTGCCCCTTTGCTGGGGGTGGATGGAGGGGTTTTGGCAGGTACAGAGGCAGAGACTAGGGAGCCCAGGAGGCGGCGAGGGGCTGCATGTCCCTGCTGGCCCACACCGCCTCTCACCTGCCCTCTCTGCTGCCAGCTGGTGCTTTACTGCCACCTCCACGGCTCTGCCACCAGCCGCCTCAGCATTTACTACGTGACCGCCTCCACCAAGGAGCTGCTGCGGGAGCGGACRGGGGACCTGGGCGCCTGCTGGGTCCGGGAGAGAGTGGAGTTCAATGTGACAGAGACCTTCAAGGTGAGCTGGCTGCCCGCGTCGACCCCGCTCTGCCCGCAAGGCCTCGCCTGCCCCGACCTGGCCGCACGTCCCCCCGGGGGCTCCTCGCTGATTCTCGGAGCGCTGTGAGCCTGCGGGGGCCAGCATGACTCGGTGCTGGTGCTGCAGCGGGTGGCTTGCCCTGCAGGTGCTGATCGAAGGAGTGGCCGGCGACGCGGGGATGGTGGCCCTTGACGACTTGATCCTCTCTCCAGACTGCAAGCAGGAGCAGGGTGAGCAGGAGCACTGCGAGCCCCCCTAAAATCTCCCGGTGTCTTTTGGCCACATCACTAAAGGACTCGTCTCAGCCCTGGCCAGGCTGTGCAGGGTGATGCTGCCAAGGCCGAGCTTTGCTGAGCGGCCCAGGTGACTCCTCTCTGACCTGCAGTGTTTTGTCATCAGAAAAGCCCCAGATTTCGCTGCCGAGCCGGGGCCCTGCCGGCCCGTGCGCAGCCCAGGAGTTCGCCTGCGACAGCGGGCAGTGCATCAGCGACGAGCTGGCCTGCAACTTCGTGGAGAACTGCCCTCTGGGCTCCGATGAGAAGCACTGCGGTGAGTGCCCGCGGCCGGGCGGGAGCACCCCAGCTCACCAGCACCCTGCCCGGGCCACCCCAAGGCCTCCAGCCTCTGTCTGCTGTTGGGGAGCTCTTGTCCCRTGCGGATGCCCCCACCTGGGCTCCCAGCAGCCGGGCGGTGGGGCTGGCCTGGGGCACCTCTCCCACCCACCGACCCCCACGCTGCCCCAGGAAGCGCTGCAGGGCGCCTGAGCATTTGGCTTTCACAGGAGCGACCACCTTTGAGGAGGGCGCCGGCGGCTGGCACGATGTTAGCGTGGGCCGGCTGCGCTGGGAGGTGCAGCGAGCTGCCGAGCCCGCGGGCAGCACCCGCGGCGGCGCAGGTGAGACCCTGCCGGTCGCTGAGACTGTACTGTACTGACTGTCCCCAGTGTCACAGGGGCRCTCGCACCGCAGGCACCCCCTTCTCCTGCTCCCACTGGTGAGGGGAGCGGCACYGCTGTGGCAAGGGCAAGGTGCTCAGCACCGCCCTGGGGAGGCTGCTGGCGGCGGGAGCTGTGCTGGGGGCGCGGGCGGGGAGGCAGACCCTGACCTCCGGACATGTCTCCTCACGCAGGGGCTTTCCTGGCCCTCCGGAGCGGGGCAGGGCAGATGGTGGCCGTGGCCACAGCGCGCACACCGCCACTGGGCCCCTCCGGGCCAGCCTGTGCCATGGAGATGAACTACCGCCTCCCCAGTGGCCACCAAGGTAAAATCTGCCCCTTCCAGCCCTGCGCTGCCCCCGGTTTGGCGTGGGGCCAATGCCCCCCAGCCACCGCTGGGCTTTGCCCCGTCACGCTGCATGGGGACACCGGTCCCTGCCACCGCCCCGCTGATCCTCTCGCGCAGGTTTCCTCGCTGTCCGTGTGGTCGAGCGYGCCACGGGCACCGCGCAGCTGGCCTGGCGGGTGCAGGGCCGCRGCAGCGCAGCCTGGCAGCACGGCCGCATCCTGCTGGGCGAGCGGCCCAGGCCCTTCCAGGTGACGCCAGCAGCGGGATTCATGCAGGGGACTGGCCCCAGCCTGAGCTTGTGGCCGTCGCTGGCTGCCACGGGCTGGCAAGAGAGCTGGGACTCACCGGCTCCTTGTCCCACCAGGTTGAGCTGCTGGGTCAGGTGAGTCTGCAGGAGACGGTGAGCGCGGCCGTCGACAACGTGACCTTCGTGAGCTGCGACCCCGGCGTCGCTCCGCCGGAGGCTGCCGGTACAGCCATGGGCGCAGCAGCGCGGTGCGCGCGAGCGCCCTGCGCCTCCCCCGGGCACATGGGGAAGCCTGGGCTCCCCTGGGCGCATGGGCCCGCGTCCTGGCRGTGAGGGCAGATGGGCTGAGGCAGGGGCAAATCGAGAAGTGCATTGCGGGTGGCTGCTTGCCTTGGCGGAGTTTTGTCCATCCACCCTCACCACTGTCCTCTCCCGCTGGCCAGAGCTGTCTTGCAACTTCGAGACGGGCAYGTGCGGCTGGTACCAGGATCAGCGCAGCGACTTCCAGTGGGTCCGAGGCACGGGACAGGGGCAGGGCTCCGACCACACCACTGGCTCAGGTAAGGGACGGCTGCCATGCACCCACCCGGAGGCTCCTTTGGCAGCCCTWTCCCTGGGCAGACTCAAAGCACCCCCTTTTCTACCCTCTCTCCATCCATGACTGCAGGCTACTTCCTCGCTGCTGACCCCGCCGCACCAGGGACGCGTGGGCAGCGGGCACAGCTCATCACCGCATACCAGCAGCCGCCCGCCGCGGCGCAGTGCCTCTCCTTCTGGTACCGCATGGCCGGCCCGCAGATCGGTAGGCTCCCGCAGTGCAGAAAACGGCCCTGGGCACAGGGCAGGGTGGCTGCGAGCAGCGATGTCGCCACTCCACGGCTCCGCTCTGCCCAGGCACCCTCAACCTCAAGCTGAAGCGTGAGGAAGAGGAGGAGCTGGTGCTGTGGACCAGGAGGGGGGCCCAGGGCAGCGTGTGGCACCGGGGCTTCGCCACGCTCAGCCTCAAGGGAGAGCGCGCGTACCGGGTGAGGCAGCGTGGGAGCCGGCCGGCGGGGACGCCGGGGGTGCCCCRTGGGCCGTGCTGCCTCTCAAGCTGGCATCTCTGCCCGTCCCCGCAGCTGATCTTCGAGGCCCTGCGCGACGGCTTTGTGGGCAGCGTGGCCCTGGACGACGTGACGCTGCGCGCGGGGCCCTGCGGCGCCCAGGACTTCTGCTCCTTCGAGGCGGGCACCTGCGGGCTGGTGGCCAGCGGGCAGCCCGCCTGGCTGCGCCAGAGCAGCGGCAGTGGCGCTGATGGCCCGCTGGCCGACCACACCACCCGCACGGCCACAGGTATCGGGGCTCCGGCGGCCCTCCTGAGTGTCCCCCCTCCTCCTGCACCTGATCCTAACTGTGTCCCTGCTGCTGCCCCATCCCTGTTCCCATCCTTGCCAACCCCTCACCCTCTGCCTCTGCTCCTGCCCCTAATGCTCCCTGTGCCCCTGACGGCCTCTGACTAGACCTGCCGCATCCTCATCTCTTCCCCTCTCCTTATCCCCATCCCTGCCCTGCCTGCTGGTGCCAAGGGTGCCCCTTTGCTGCCCACTGGCCACCACCCTGGGCACCCCAGCCTCCACACCCCAAGCTACTGGCTCAGCACAAGATGAGCGCCGAGGGACACTGAGCTTCACAAACCCAGCGGTCCCAGCAAGTGACAAAAGGAATTTCCTGACTGACTCTGCTGTCCCCTGCCATGGGCAAGGTGACACAGCAGGGTTCTGGCATGGGGGCTTTTCTTTCCTCAGGCCATTACATGCTGGTTAGGACCAGCAAGGGCTCCTTGCCCATGGGAGGTGTGGCCACGCTCTCCTCCGAGCTCTACGAGTCCTCCGCACGAGGCCAGTGCCTGACCTTCTGGTACCAGCTGGGCGACGAGGCCCCAGGTGAGCACCACGTCCTGGTGAAAGCCCGGGATCCTGCTTGGGAAACTGCCCTCAGATGGGAACCGTGGGACAAGCTCCCTGCCCCAATGTCACAGCCTCCTGGGGCAAACTCATTTCTTGCCTCTGGCCTGTGGTGTCCAGGCAAGACACGATACCCATCAAGAAACACGTATGATCACTATGGCCTCAGACCCAGACAAGCTCATGCCATGACCAGCTCTACGCTCAAACCTGCTAATCCCATTACGAGGTCTTCAAAGCAGATTGGAGGCTGGTTAGCTCTGCTGGTGCCAAGGCACAGCAGTGCCATCAGTCTCCTCCTTGTACCCCAGGCTGCACGTCCAGCATCTCTGGCCTTTGACAGGTTCCCTCAGCGTCTTCGTGGAGGAGAGCGGCATGCAGAGGAGGAAGATGTTTACTGTGAGCGCCATGCAGGGGAGCTCCTGGCACCATGGCCAAGTCACTGTCCAGGCAGACCAAGAATGGAGGGTGAGACGGGGCAGGGTCTCAGATGCTACAGCACTCAAGTTGTGAGGATAGAGGCTGCAGGAGGCATGGCCATGCAAGGGGACAGGTGCTGGGCCAACAGCACCAGTTGACAATGAGCSCTTCGGGTCTTCTGGGGCTAAGTACTAGATGGCAGGGATCTACCGGTCCCAACCTCAGCATGTGCCCACTCCCCAAYTCTCTTGCAGGTGATATTCGAGGTCACAGGAGGCGGCGGTGACCRTGCATACATCGCGCTGGATGATCTGCGTGTGATGGATGGTGCTTGCTCTGAACCAGGTGAGAGCTCCTATGACATGATGGTGGGCACCATGCAGGCTCGACTGTCGCTGGCCCAGGAGTGTCTGTCCTGGCCTGCCTGGTCCACCCTGTCTCCCCAACAGAAGGCCCAGGTAGGGATCAGCCACTCTGAGCCTTGCATGGCTCAAATTTGTGGCTCCCAGGGAAGTGGAGGCCCTTCAGGACACACCAGGGCACTTGGTGGATGCAGAGGGAAGGTGACTATGCCTGCAATGTTCCATGAGCCACTTCATCACCCAGGACTTTCTCCTAGGTTCTTGTGACTTTGAGTTGGACATGTGTGGCTGGAGCAGCCCCTCTGATGACAATCCGCACGGCTTTGCCTGGGGCTGGAAGAGCGGAGTCCCCCTGGACAAATACCCTGGCCCTGAGCAGGATCACACTCTGGGCACAAAGGACGGTAGGAGACCTCTACCTCAGGACGTGCTGGCACGGTCAAGTGGATCAGATAGCTGAAGATAAATGGAGTCACCCTCAATTGCCTTCCTGGAGCATCCCGGGGGGCTGGGCAAGCAGCCTTAGTAGCCATGTGCCAGCTCCAGCCTGGGCCCAGGTCAATGAGGGGCAGGAGTAAGGGGAGGAAAACCTCTACTCTGCAGMAGACAGGCCCTTATGGGGGCACCCTGGTCCAGTACAGCCCCACTGCAGGCCCAGCCTTGAGCATATGGTGGAGATGGCTGGATCCACTATATCCCATTCCCCTCTCCCGGGAGGGACGGCTCAGCCCCACGGGCAGCCAGGGGCTGGGGAGGCAGGGAGGTTCCCAGGGGAGCAGATGAGACCAGGGCCATGCAGCACGGAGGGAATTTCCTGTGCTCTCTTCTCGCCTGTGCAGGTCGCTACGTGTACTTTGATACCAGTGTGCTGGGCCCTGGGGGCACCGCTGCCCAGCTGGAGAGCCAGCACCTACCTGCTGCTGCAGCCTCCTGCCTCCGCTTCTGGTACCACATGGACATCCCGGAGCACCTCTGTAAGTGCTGCCCCACATGCAGGGGGCAAGCGAGCTCACGGTGGGAGCTGGGGTCTTAATCAAGGACTGGAACCCCCCTCAGCACCAGCTGTGCTGGGCAGCAGGGAGGGCCCACCCTGGTGGGCTCTGTGTGCTCCATAGAGCGCAGAGCAGCTGGAGGGGCACGGTGGCCTCCAGGTGTTGAGGCTGGGGGCCTCCCCCCGCTGTGCTGCAGCTGGCGGGGAGCTGCGCGTGCGGCTGCACAGCGCCGAGGGGCAGCGCACGGCGTGGAGCGCGCCCGGGCGCCAGGGCCGCGGCTGGCTGAGCGCCGCCGTGCCCGTGCAGAGCCCCAGCGAGTTCCAGGTGAGCAGGGCCGCGCGCCCCGGCCAGCCCTCCCCTCACAGCAGGGCTCCCAGCACCGCGTCACGCGGCCTCCTGCCTTCCTGCAGATCGTCTTCGAGGTTGCCGCCAGCACGTGGCCGATAGGAGGGACCGTCGCGCTGGATGACGTGGCGTACAGCCCTGGAAAGTGCCAGGATCCCAGCCCAGGCGTGTCAGGGAAAGGTGAGGGGCTGTTGGCATTTGCAGCAGCTCTGGCGACAGCACCTCGTGCTCTTTCCATACCCCATGGTCCCAGCAAGCAGCCAGCAGTGGGGCCTGGGGTCCCATGCACCAGAGCAGCTCACGCCAGCCTTCAGAGGCAGAGCTGGGCACGGGTGCTCACCCAACTTCATGTTTCAGAACTTGAAGCATGAGGTTTTGCACTTCCTRGGGCCTTTGAGAAAGCCATGGGGCAGCCAATGGTACAAGACAGCCACATCTGTCATGGCAGAGGCATTCCAACTGGGTGGGAAGGGAGCAGGGGACAACAGTGCAGCTTTTGGGCTGCAAACACCGGCGTGGTGCAAGCTGTCCTCAGCCCTGCTGGCAGCTCTGACCTGCCGCGAGCAGCAGTGGTGCAGGACGCTGCCACTGCTGCCAGGTCCCATGAGATGTCCTGGGCAGGGCAGGAGCCTGGCTTACCCTGGGAAGGGTCAACCCTGAATTGCTCAGGGCCCTGGGGCTTTTGTAGAGGCCTGAGCAGCCCTCCTTGGAAACAGCTCTGGTTCAGCMTCATCCGCTTTCATTCACAGAGAAGTCTTCCAGCGGCCTTGTGGCAGAGGTGGTGATCGGCCTCCTCCTGGCCCTCCTAGTCCTGGCCATGGTCATGGCAGGAGGTCATTACTTGTTGAAGAGGAGAGGGCAAGCGAGCAGGATGGCAGCAGAGAGCAGTGCCCCACAGGGCTTTGACAACATCACCTTTCAAGATGTAAGGAATTGGGCCTGACCATAAGGATGGGTGGGAAGGTCTTTTCTATTTGCCCTGCTGCTCCAGCCAGCACATTGGAAGGCACCAAAACAGCATTTTCTGAAAGTTCAGCAATCCCTGAAAGACCCCCTGGTCTGCCAACACATCAAAAAGGTGCAAAGGCCTCTGCTTCTTATCTGATAGCCGGCAAACGAGTGACTCCAAGTTGTAGGACTGACCTAGAAATGTTGCTGATGCCATCAGGTGACTGCTCCAGAAAGAGCTGAGGCTGTGYTCCCTCTCCCGGCTGTGCTGCCAGTGAGCAGGTCCTGCAAATATTGCTCATCCTCGTGCTTCTGGCAACCTGAAGTCTTCAGTGGTAGCTTAAACAGTTGGTTTCCTTCCAGCAGTTTGGTGCCCCCAGCAGAACTACTGGGACAGAAACACAGACCTCTTGCAGTCCCTCTGGGACTGATTCCTGTGCCCTGTGCTCTAGGTGACCCTGTATGTGCAGGGGGTTGGACTAGAYGATCTCTAARGGTCCCTTCTAACCTTAACAATTCTATGRTTCCCCAAAGAGGACATGGAACCCAGTTGGCCTCTTTAGACTGTTTATTTGTTGGGATTAAACTGTGCTGGCAGGCACGTAGAGGTTCTCCTCTTTGTGAGTTGGAAGAGGTCAATTTATTTCCTACGAGATACAAACTACCACTTTACTTTCACCTTTCTTTCCAGGACAAGGTCACTATATCTTCACTGCCAAAGGAAGGTGGTGATCCTTGAAMTATTAATCCAACACCACTCATTGCCACCCTGTGCCCATTAACTGCAAGCAGACCAGAGCATCTTCCAGCAAGACCTCACACTCCCGCAGTCGAGGCTGGCTCCAAGGTATCTCGCTGTCTGCCAGCATGCCTATCAAATAAAGCAGCAGGCCCTTAAGACAAGGTCACAGCTTGGGAGAGAGAAGTGCTGCTTCCTCAACTACCTCCAAGGCCTTGGGAAAAGTACTGTTGTGTAAACTGCATCTTCTGTGCTGTAGAGCGACATCTTTATGTGCTTGGGCTTTGGCAAACACACACACACACACACACACACACACACACACACACACACACACACACTTAGAAGGCAGCTCTTGTAGCAGGACGGGCCATCCTTCGCCGAGGAGAGCAGCGTTCCGGCCCCAGCAAGTTTCTCAAATGGAAGGAGCCCAACACCGGCCTGGGGAGGGGAGAAGAGCAGCTGATGTGGCACAAGTCCTTTCCCACGTGTAACCCRGGAAAACAAATCCAGTAGTTGCCAGGGCCAATGGGAGGAACACGGTGCTGTGTGGCTGGCGCGGGCGCAGGGTGTTGGGGAGGAAGGGAGCAGAGCAGGTGCTGATGTCGCACGGCTGAGGCCAGGCAGCAGCCCTGAGCCGGCTCTCCAGGTACTCGCCTTCCACTGAAYTGCCCGTACTTGTTTCAAGGACCTTGGATAATTTGTATTTAAAAGGCATTAGAAATGATAAGTTTCCTGAAGCAAAAATTAGGCTCTTAGTGCAATTAGGCCAAAGAGCTCTTGTTTCTTCTGCAGCCAGGCCCCAGAGGAAACCCTAAGCCAAGGATTCCTCTCCTCCACTGCTTTGGAAACAAATTAATATTAATGCCATAGTGAAACGTAAGTTCAATAGTTAACAAACCAGTTCTGCTTGTGTAGCCCATCAGCAAAGCTGCTCTTCAGAAACCTCCTAGCCTGTTTGTAGGGAAGGTGTTTTGCCACGGTCCTGTTCTGTGACAGCARCCTGTTCTTTCCTATCCCCCTTCCACAGACTGGTCTTCAGCTCTGTCCTGCTTATACTGTGCCAAACTGTCACATAAAGCATGATCCTCAAGCCYACAATGTTTGTACCTTTCTTGGTGGTGCCACCCAGCAGGAAGGGAAATAAGCCTCTTGGGGAGGAAAAAAAAAAGAAGGAAAAGGAGATAAGGAGGGTTCAGGCTTCTGGCTTCATATAAATGCTGCATTGTCTTTGCATCAGCCTGGCTCTGTGGCTCTGTACAACTCTAGAGAGACTCCCTGCACAAGATAAGAAGCACAGAGCAGCACAGTATTGATTTCATCTCTGGGATGTAAGCCAAAGCTGCAGGAAAAGAAAGAGCAGCGAGAAAGGTTGCGACAACACAGGAAACCTGTGGAAAGGCACCCCTATCCCGAATGCTTGGGTTGTCCTGGTGGTTACATTTCTAGGAGGAAGAGGGTGCTACAGCACCACTCATGCCCAGCAGAAAATTATACTACCAGCTGGTGAACAGGCAGTGACTACCCCATGCAACCAAAGGGTATCAAACTTTATTATAGATCTCTTTAAAACAGGCTGGAAGGAACAAACAAAAATGTCATTGCAATGCAGTGACTGAGTCATTCATTTCAGATGCAGACACCAATCAATCCCCAGCTCTCCCAAACTATTTATATATAATATATCCCACCCTCCCCCAAAATTGCTCCAATTAAATGATCTCATTTCAGATCACCCTAAGTGTCTTAACATTAGCTGCTTCTAAACACCAAGACGCACATGTTTTCTGGCAAATTGGATGCAGTATTTTTCAGGATTTAGTTCCTCAATCTCTGGAAAGGAGGAAGGAAAAACAAAATCAGGAAAATCGCTTCTTTAAGGTCGCCTTTTTACAGCAAGTACAGATTCTGCAGCCTTCCCCCCCAAAGCAAGTCTGAAACCCTCTTGTTCAGCTTGGCAATACGATGAGAGATTCTGGTGGTTAAGGAGAACCAGCCAGACGAGATCAGTCTGAAGAAACTGATTTCGAGGCTTTATTTTCATTTCCCTTTGGGGCCTGTTTCGAGTGGTTTTCCAATGTCTTTCCCACGCAGCTTAAGACCTGGAATAAGAGAGAAAGACAGCGCTCATCATCTGCTCTATCACTCGCCCAACAGCAAAACTTGGGGAAATAACAGTATAATAAAACATTAAAAAAAAGAAGGCAAGGTAAAAAAAATGAGAAAGAATCCTGCACTGGTTTGTAGCATCAGACTAGTTACAGAGAAAGCTCCAGTTCTTCCTTGTGCGTTGATTATGTTTATAGGAAATAATATACATGCCTAGGAAACACTGATGTTTGCAAGACGCTTTGCTGAGTTAACATCAGTCCTTCAGGACTCTCAGCACACCTCGGATTTCAAATGCTCTCAACACATTTTGGATTTTTGGGGTGGGGGGGGCACTGTACAAAGGAGATCCCCAGGGCACTGTCCCACTGTCCCATATGTAAAGATGGAGAGAGGAAGAAGAAGAARAAAATAGAAAAAAAAGAGAGAGAGGGATAAAAAAAGAGGGATAGAATGAGAGCTTTGAGTTGTTTTACTCAGCATATCCAGCTATTATCAAAACATAGACTAATGATACCCCRCCCATAATAACCTACAGTCATTAACTGCTCCTGCCACAGGCAGTATAAATAACTTACACCAAAACGGCCTTCTTAAACACTAAAGACTTTTTTGTCATTTTTAAAGTCTACTTTTTGAAGTAGGGACTTTTAGTAAAGACTAAACTTACCGATGGCTCTTTCAATCTTGCCCATAACCTGGTTATTGGGGATTGCTCTTCCCGATTCGTAGTCAGCAATAACTTGTGGTTTTTCGTTGATTTTCTAAAAATAATAATAAAGGAAGATGCCTCAAACCTTGGCACAACAAAAAGTAAACATTCAGAGCCAAGTGCCCAAAACTCTAYTGCACTAATAAGAGACAATCATGCCAGGCCTGGAGGAGACAGCACCACGTGTGGGCAGGGCCCATCAGCACGGGGCCTCCTGCGTTCTGGTGCCACCCGTCACCGCCAGACTTGTCCTTCTGTCTCCCAGGAGGAACAAGAACGCTAAATACTACAGTTCATTAACACAGCAGTGAGATTCTCAACATAGTTTCAGACATAATTGCAACAAATAACCTTGTGTCAATGCTAAGTTGATAGGATAAAAAGGATAGATGGAATAAAAAGAATAAGCTGGGAAAAAAAAATGAAGAAAGGAAAAATGCCTCCCAGGAGCTCACTGGTCATAACGCTGTTCGTRTGCTTTGCACATGTACAAAGGTTGCCCAGATAAATCTCTGAGCTATTCTGTAGGTTACTAATTCTGCCCAGGGATCTGGCAAAGACATCTCAATCACCAAAGTGCCAATTCACGATACCAGAGCACTGCAGCCACCCAGGAACAAACAAACAGAAAGAAAACCCAAAAGAGAGAAGTGCCCAACTCCGCCCCGCCAGAGGTGCCAGGCGCCTCCGCGAGGAAGCTGGAGGAGACGTGGGAAGCGCCTGGCGACGCTCACCGTGGCCAGGTCCTTCTGCGTCATGCCCTTGCTCTGCCGGCCCTGCTGGATGACTTTGCCCACCTCCAGGGGCACCCTGTCATGGTGCAGCTCTTCTGTCTCGCGGTCTAGCTTGGCTGTGTTCTTCGTAATAAAGTGTTGCTTGTTTTGGCCTGCTGCCCCTGCAATTCAAAGCAAGAACAAAAAAAAAACAAGAACAAAGAAAACAAGGCTCGGAGCTGCACCATGAACTATGAAAGCGCTCGCTCTGAGCACTCAGCTGCCCAGGATCTCAGCAAGTTTGGGGGATTTCAACAAGCCAACATCAGCATCAGCCCCAACCAGATCCTGCCAACTGCAGGTCAGAGAACATGTTAACTTAATCCTGCTGAACGCTGATGTCTAAACGCWGCTGTACAGAACTGTTCCCTTTGCTTATCTCCAAACTCAACTTCAGATATGCAATTTCTTGGTTACAAGAGGGATTTACTCTATGAACTTTTATCTTGTTCGCTGGGTTACACGGCAGACTGAACACATGCCTTGTGCTCAACTTTCTGATGCTTCTCAAAGATAAACTCCARCTTTGCTCAGCTCTGCAGAAATCCAGCGGTTCTCATTTTGGTTAGACTATTTAAGTCATGTTTGGAATCCMTTGTCTAACGTTAGTCCTTGAAACCTTGAATGAGCTGACCAAACTTTCCACATGCTCTGTTTTGCCCATTCAAGRATCATCCGTTTATTTAGTTAGCTAGTTATCATAATCCCTTCCCAAGGTGAGAAGCATAAGAATTTACATCAGAAAGACAACAGGGAATTTTTAAAGAGCTATGACACAGTAAAAAAACGAGTAGTTACTGAAATCCTCAAGCATCTGTCCAATCAACAGTAAGAATGAACCACATAAAAGGGGAGTTTAACCCAGGATTTTGCTATCAGGGAGGCTTTTCYAGGAGTTTCGCAGCTTTGAACCCCCCCCAAAGAGCGTAATTTGTTAACCAGCTTTGTTGAAGAGGCTGCACAGCCCGTGCCTCTCCCTGAGGGCAGGAATGCACATGTCATCCCTGGGCAAATGTGCCCAACTCCAGCCCTAACGGCTGCCTTTTCCGTCCAGGCACTCGGACAGGAGGCGCAGCTCGGATCGGGGTGATCCRTGGAACCACGGGGTGGCTGGAGCCGGGGGGCTGGGGCCAAGTCCTTGGCTTGCACGGGCGGCCGGGAGCGTTYTCCAGGCCCCGCTCCTGCTCGGCCAGGGCTCCGGATCCCTCCCTGCGCTCCTGCCTCGGGCTGCGCGAGGCCACAGCGGCTCGAGGTGCCGCGCTCGGGGGCAGCTCGGACCGRGAGCTCGGGGCCGGACCGGCGCTAAGCCGCCCTCGCTGGCGCGGCGGCTCCCGCGGGGGCAGCGCCGGGCTCGGCGCAG